ACTTTTTTGAGTTAAATTTATGATTCTAATTCTAATCATTATTTAATATTTATAAATTTATTACTTGTATCATTATGTTAACAATACATATAATAATTGTCTCACTTAAAGGATGTTTTTCAATGTTGAGTTGATAAAATCTTACCTAAAACTAATAACTGAAAAAACAACATTAAGTAGTAATAATTTTCATCTAAATAGTGCAAGTTATTTTTCAAAAAAATTTATATTTTAGGTCGCGACTTGAAATTTTGCTTTAGGCCTCCAATAACGTTGAGCCGCCCCTGCCTAATATCATAAAATAATCATTATTTTCTTAATATGAATGCAAAATACAAATTATATGACAGATAAAAGTCCAAATATTTTTTAATTCATAATGTCAACATTACATCAATGTTTATCCACCAGGTCCTCCATAAACAATCAAATGACCAAGTACATCACCTTGCTCAATAAAATCTTGAACTGTATATATAGTTGTGTTACTCTGAAATGGATATGTGCCAATATGATCTAAAGAGTATGTTACCATTTCATCATTCACATAACACAAAAAAGTGCACTTTCTAAAATATGCATTTTCTAACAAATTTTTCTTTGGAAAAAGTCCACTACCCATTGGAGGGAATTGTAATCCCTGTGCACTATATGTTATACCTCCATATTTAGCACCTGTTGCATAAGCTTGTAATGTTGTAAAAATACTTTTAGGCCAAAATCCCACTTGTTTGTAATCCTCTCCTAGCATAACCCACCAATTTCCATTTGCTACATCCTATATAAGTTTATATTGACATATAGTAAGATACATAAAAGGAACATTTCGTAAATAGCGTTTATCAACGTCAAGTTTTGTAGAAATTTTAAAACGTATTTCACTAACGTAACAGAACAAATAAATATGAATTACCTGTTCAAGATACATTATTTGTGAATTAATAGGTCCACCAATTCTTGAAGGTACAAGTGGCATTCCTAAAGGTATATCTGTGTTTACTAGGACAAAGCCACTACATAATGTATTAAAACAACCAGCACTTCCAACCTATAATAATACATTAAAAAAAAAGCATTTCATTATAATTAGTAAACACTATAGTCTCTAAGAAAAGTTTTAAATAATTGATCAAAGTAATTAAGTTTTGTTCATAATTACCTCAAATCTTGCATAAAGTCTTGGCGTATTGTCTCCATTAAGAGTAGGATGCACCTTCATTAAGTTTAGCATAACAATAATATTAATAACAAGTATTTTTTTTCAACTTAGAAAAAAAGATATTTAGTAATTTTCTCGATATTTCTAAACCATATTAGGTTTATAAGATAATTTGTAACAACGTATAACTGTCGATGATATATATACTCTTTTCAAACCTCTCAGTATATGAAGTGATATATGTATAACTGTAGATGAAATACAAATTTCTACACCATTAGGTTTATAATAATGAGTTGAAACAACAGATAATCGTCAATGATAAATGTATTCTTTTCGAACATTGTCAATGCATAAAATGATATATGTGTAACAATCTATGATATACAAATTTCTAGTACACCATAAGAAAACTTGTAACAACATACAACTGTTGATGATATATGTATTCTTTTTAAAGACTGTCAGTGTATGAAATGATAATATGTATAACAGTTGATGATATATACAAATTTCTAGTACACCATCAGGTTTATAAGATGAGTTATTACAAAAAATATCCGTCGAAGATATATGTATTTATTTTTAAACACTGTCACTGCATAAAATGATATATATAAGCGTGCGTGTATAACTGATTAAGTTTATAAGTTTGACTTGTAACAACAGATAATCGTCGATGATATATGTATTCTTTTCGAATACTGTTAGTCCATAAAAGTTAAATTTTTTTTTAAATGAGAAGTAGAAGTGAGCTTACGATCCAACCAACTTCAATGGCATCACTAAGTCCATTTTCAAGCCTCACACGAGCTCCACTAAACTGATCTTTTTGAACATTCATTGGTGCATGTATAGTAGTAATCATGCCAGCTCCACGAAGTACATTTATATCAGCACCTGGAATTTCTGTTTCTGCATACTAAAATCAATAATAAAATAATAATCCCAAAGTAAGATAATTTATATGCAAATGATTCAAAGTGGACACTTTTCACGATTTTTATTCGATGTACATCTGAACTTTACTTTGGTCTAATTATCCTGAACTTGACGAGGTTATCAAATTGTCATGTTCGGGTTTAATTAGGCAAACATCAAGTTTAGATATGCATTGAATAAAGTTCAAAAGTGTCCGAATCTATTTTGAAAAAAAAAAGGATGTGGGGGGGTGGGGGGTGGTGGGGTTCAATACACACCTGGAAAGGATGTATTTCATCTAGGGAAATTGAGGCCTTTGAATTGGTTATGTTGTTCCCCTACATGAAGTACAAGTACACCTTATGTTAGAGATTCAAAACTAGGAAAAAATTGAGGGGGGTGGGGTGGGGTATTATATTAAAGAATAAATCATATTTTATATATCGGCGATATAAAGTATTACATATTTATATGATGAATTCGATAAAAAATCGATATGGCATTATAAATATAATATGTGAACTTACATGATCATTAAGATTTTTTTTCATGTCTTGCATATGTTGATGTCGAATGAGATCCTCTTTTGTAACTCTTTTAATAGGAACTGTTCCACTAGGACATCCACCGCCTTTCAACCCTATCTTTGAAGGTTTTTCGAAACTCAAAGCCTTTGCGTCTATTCTTGATTTGGATAGAGTAGGTTTCATCTACGTCAAATTTAAAATACATCAATGTTTGTCATAAAATTTAATTAAAATTGAATATAGAAGTATATAATACAAACACACCTCGGAATGAAAATCATGATTCTGTAATAGTGGATGATCAAAAGTAGGTTGCTTATAAAAATCTATGCAATCGTATATATCTCCATCATTGGTCTACAAATCAACCAAAAAAAGTGAATTTATTTATTTTTTCCTACGTTTTGATAAATAATTTTGATATGCTTCAAATATTATGATATATATCACCTTTATAGTCTTGATAGCTGGCTTATTTATAAGCTTTAATTGCCTCTCCAATTCTAAATCTTCAACCTCAGATAGGCTTTGTCTTGCTTCAATTTTGGCATAGCTCAACAATAGTGAAATTGCAACAACAATTTGTAATATCTACAATTTGAGATGTAATTTATCAACATTGTGTTAAATTTTTGGTCTAATTTATATAATATAAATCCTCTGTTGTTAGGGAAAAAGTCTTGTTTACCCTTAACCTCTGTCGAAATTTCAACTAGAGAATAATTTTATACTACAGTCTAAAGGTAAAGGGTAAATTTACATTTTCATTCCCGAAAAAATTGGGCACATGTAGATCCATTTCATGGTAAAGCATTCCTCAATGACAAAAGGTTAAACACGAAACGATTTACTGTTATCAAAGATATGAATGAACAAAAATATAACGTATGATAAAATTAAGCGATATGAAATTTCAAAAAGCTTAAGAAAATAAATATCTGAAAACTTACCTGATTTGACATGACGATGGTGTTGAAATTTGATGCAAAATAAAAATACATGTGAACTTAAACAAACATATATACATTTATACTAAGTAGAAGATGAGAGAGTATTTATTTGAATAGTGTAAAAGTCAAATGTTACAATTAATTTTCTATATTATTATTTTAGATTTCTTATAAAAGGATTTTCTTAAAGTCAAATAATTGACTTATACATTTATACTAAGTAGAAGATGAGAGAGTATTTATTTGAATAGTGTAAAAGTCAAATGTTACAATTAATTTTCCATATTATTATTTTAGATTTCTTATAAAAGGATTTTCTTAAAGTCAAATAATTGACTTATACATTTATACTAAAGGCCAGTTTGGATGGGCTTAATAAAAGCAGCTTTAAAAAAGTACTTTTGAAAGTGTTGAAACTTATTTTTAAAATAAGCAGTTATGTGTTTGGATAATAGTGGTGAAGTTGTTATGCCAAACGTGAAAAGGGAAAAATGGAAGAAAGAGATGTTAGGGTTATATGGGTAATTTGGAGATTGTATAAAAATATTAAGGGCAAAAAGATAAAAATGTGGTCAACTTAAAACAGCTTATAAGCTTAAAAAAAAAGCACCTCTACCCCAGCTTTTAACTTTTAGCTTAAAATAAGTTTTTTTTAAACTTAAAATAAGTTATTTTGAGTATTGCCAAACAGTTAAATAAGTCAAAAACCAACTTTTAAGTCAGTTTGACCAGCTTTTAAGTTGAGTCAAACAGACTCTAAGTAGAAGACGAGAGAGTATTTATTTGAATAGTGTAAAAGTCAAATGTTACAATTAATTTTCTATATTATTATTTTAGATTTCTTATAAAAGGATCTTCTTTAAGTCAAATAATTGACTAATATATATATATATATATATATATATATATTATATTTATATAAAAAAAATTATAATTCATAATACTTTCTGTATAGCTTTTGAATATCTAAAATTTTATTTTAAACTATCAAACTAATGTATCTTTGATGGACAAATTCCAACTAATGTATAGTTTGGTCCCTTTTTAAACCACCAATTTCCATTAGACATGTCCTATATTATAACCAAAAAGAAGAAGAAAAAAGTTAAAAGTTTCATTAATGTTCGATACAAAATTTAAAGTTTATGAGTTTCTAATATGATCATGTAAGTTCGTATCAGACAAAAGAATTGGACATATAATTAAATATTTATAGAATTAAGTTGATTTTTAAAAATATAAATACGAGATTTGAACAAAATCTAATGATTTTGTAACAGTCCAGCCACCTAGTGATATTGTCCGTTCTAAACCTCGACTTGAACGGCTTTAAAATGCACCACTAGTTGACACATTCTACTTACTTATATACCAAGAACCACTGCATGAACAAACCATATATAATTCATAAATATAATATCGAAATATCTTAAAACACCGCATCTATATATCAAATATCTCTATGTTTCTTATACATATGTTCACCTGGTCCTCCATATAGGACTAAATTACCAGATTCAACCCCAGAGTTTGGAAAATCAGCAACTCTATACAAATTTGGACTATTTGCATATAATTTCACTTCAATATCATCTAAAGATTTTTTAGTTTCATTTTTATCTGTTAAATAGGTACTATTCTTACAATATCCATCTTTGTTCAAATCTCCAACTGGAAAATAGCCACCGCCCATAGAAGGTTCTGGTACACCTGGTGGACTATATACGATTCCTCCATATTCTACACTTGTTGCAAATTCATTTAACTTTGTAAATATCTTTGATGGCCAAAATCCAACTGATGTATAGTTTGTTCCAAATTTAAACCACCAATTTCCATTTGACATATCCTATAAATGGTAAAAGGAAAAAAAAAGTCAGATACTGTATAATAATAATAAAAGAAGGTTAAGTTTATGGATTGATAGTGTGTATTATTTATCTAATCAAATCACTTACAAGATATTACATGTTATTGTATATAATAAACATTCACTAGTAATATAGAATAAATGATAAGTAACATGTTATAACATGTTACATGAATATACATATTCATTATTTTTTAAAAAAATTATCATAATTGGATTATAAAACGTTTTCTGATGAAAAAAATTATTTCACCTTTAATTAAAGTATTTTAAATTCGAACTCAGAATATGAACAACAGAAGAAGAAGGAAGATTTACACGAATGTTCTTTCCATGCCACAATTTTAGATTTTGTTTGTCTTTGAAAGTTGTGCAAATATAGCTCTTGGAATTCACAAAACATTATATTGTTGTGTAGTGTATGTCTACAAACCTTCGACACTAGTCTAACGTTTTCTCATAAAATTTACCACTCGCTCAAAAAAATAATCTATATGCAATAGTTTAAAAAGTTTCTTTTTAATAAATTCTACTCAAACGTAAATTCAATTAATTAAGATCCTTAAACAAATATCAGATATCGAGTGAAAAACTTATAAAAAAAAGGGGAAGATGCACACTTACACGAGCAATGTACATTGGTACATCATAAATAGGTCCACCATAAGTAGAGGCAGGAAGATCTCCATCTAAAGGTATTGCAGTATTTATATGAATAAATCCAGGACATCGTGTATTAAAACATGCTAATTTTTCTGTCTGCGATCATAAAAAAATTTATTAATAAATACATCGACTTTCAAGAAAATTATATCTTAATTAGTTTTAATTCTTAAGAAGTTAAAGAAAACTACCTTTAAATATATGTATAATCGCGTATGAGTGTCTCCATAGACATGTGGATTCACCTAATATAAATTTATTAGGTAACTTCGATTAGCATATTTAGTCTGATGCAGGATTTAGAGTCAGTAGATGCAATCACACATATAATTACTCGAGTCGTAGACAAAAAACTTACTATCCAACCGACTTGTATACTTTCGATTCCAATTTGAACCTTAATACGACCAGCACTAAATTGATGTCCACTAAGATTTTGAGGATTATGTAAGCTAATAATTGCCCCAGCTCCTGTTATTTTGTTTGTTGAGTTGTATGGTATTTGCACTGTTGCATACTGAAACAAAGCAAAAACAAAACATTTTTTAAGCTAATTATACATTGCTATACATGTATATACATATATTATACATATGTTGGCTATTTTTGGGAGGTGGGTGGATATAATGTGTTAAAATATCGAAAAAATTAGTTTTTTGTGGATAGAATATGGAATAATAAAAGTATATAAACCTTGCGTCCTCCTTTAAAAGGTATACTTGAGTTGGTTCCATCAAAAACACTGAACTCCATATCCTGAAGAAAAATATGATAAAAGAATTTGAATTATGAAATTCGAAAAGAAGTTGTAGAAATTCAGCAAGCTCACATCACCATAAGGGGATTCATCCGCGCCTCTAATTTGTGATAAGAATCTTTGTCGTATTAGATCGTCTTTAGTAATTCTTCTGATAGGAACTGTTCCAGTAGGACAACCTCCGTCTTTTAATCCTATGGTAAAAGGGCTATTAATGTTTGATGAAGTGTCATCTCCTTGTAAATTGGGCAAGGTAGGTTTCATCTGTATCCAACATCATATTTTCAGTGAATTTTCTCAAGTAGAATCTGTAGAAGGTAGAGTGTACACAGACCTTACTCTTATCTTAAGAGGTAAAGAAATTGTGTCTTAAATTTGGTTCAAATTTTGATTATAAAAACTTGATTGTACGAACTTGAAACTAAGGTAGAGATATACCTCAGGATGAAATTCGTGATTCTTCAATAGAGGATTGTCGAATGCAGGTTGTTTGTAAAAGTCTACACAATCATATATTCTCCATATTTCCCCTGCTTATCAAATAGTACTAGTAATTAGTCTCCAATCAATTTTTTTTAATAGAAAAAAAATAGATGTAGTACAAACTATTAGATTTAATATTTATACTGTGATCATTATTACTTTTCCATCACGTAAGACAAAAGATGTTTCTTTTAATCTTTATATAAAAAATCGAGACTGTACCTTAATCGTTTTGATAGCTGGCTTATTTATAAGCTTCAATTGCCTCTCCAATTCCAAATCTTCAACCATAGATAGGCTTTGTCTTGCTTCAATTTTGGCATAGCTCAACAATAGTGAAATTGCAACCACAATTTGTACTTTAGCTCTCAGATGCATCAATGATTTCTACATAAATTTGAGAAATAATTAAGCAAACTTTTGGATTAGAAATATATATAAATGACCCAAACAAAGAATTGGAATAGAAATATATATAAATGATCACCTCAATTTCATGGAAACACACAAGAAAATTCAAAAGTCATAAACAACATTATTTATACTAGCAAACAAAAATTCAAAGCAATCTTTTTGTTTATTCGGATCTAACTTTTTACAGAACTTAACTAATTCTATAGAATATCTGTCAGCTCCCATCATCAATAGATACGAGTAAAAAATTCAAACCTAACGAAAATGAATTTTGAAAAGTTACCTGATATGACATGACTTTGGAGATGATTTTTGTAACAAAATGCAAATAATCTGAAATTAAACTAGTATATTAGTAGAAGATGGGGAAGTATTTATTCAAATGGTGCAATTAAAAATAGTAATGTTACCATTAACTTTCTACATTTTGGCTTTCTTTAAAAAGGGAATAAATTTAGGAGAATCTGAAATAATTTTTTTGGACATCTTTTTGATGATGCAGATAAGGTAAACTAGTAAGTAAGTCATTTCTTATAAATGTGTTTTGACTAATTTTATAAACTATTTTGATAAATATTAAAATGTTATAAGTCAAAAGTCATAAGATTATCTAAACTTAAGATTTTACACGTAATAAACATTTTTTAATTATAAACTATTTTACGATTTTATTGCTGATATTATTTGTAATCTTTGAAATACTCTTCCTACATTATATCATTTATTTATCTTACTATTGTATTTTCAACGTAAAAAAAAGTTAAATTATACGTTGCGCTTAGCCAGTCCAAAGATACTTTTACATGGTGTTATATTGTTTACTTTGGGCCAAACTCAAATGGTTTTTCCCCAGTCAACCTCACACTAATAAGAGATTATGCACTTTATATGAGTTATTCAATCTTTTTAGCTATTCATGTAGAACAATGAAATTTTGTTTGCAAACCTGACAATCACCCCCTTTGAACTAAGTTTCACGTAACCATCACCATTATCCACGAGTCAATTTTTGAGATTTACTGTGTATCACTCGTATCATTTTAGTAGGCTATCGAAGCCCACAACTAGCTTCTTTCTTGTGAGTGCATCTCCAAACTCATAATGCCTACTAATGTTCAATGGAATGTCATCTCTTTGTAAATTTGAGATATTAGGTTTCATCTGCGACCTAAAAAGGTAAGTTTTATGAGGCGTAATATTTGTACAACAATATTTATTTCAAATTTTGTTTATAAAAATTAGATTGTATGGAATAAAAACTAATGTAAAGATGTAGCTGAGAAAGAAAATTACAATTCTTCAATTGGAAATGATCAAATCCAGGTTGCTTATGAAAATTCCGAGTCGTATATTTTTCTATACTTGCCCTTTCTGTCAAATGGTAACAATATCTCCAACTTTTATATAAACAAAGAAGTGGTGCAAAGTATTAGAACTTAGAGTTGTAATTGCTCCTCGTAGAGATCCCCAATTGCTTATAAGGCATATATTCAAGTTCACATGATATACACGTATTTAATACAAATATGATGAGGCCGCAAGATAAACTGGTGTAGGCCTAGATGCAAAAAGGACAACTGTGACTATTTTATGTGAGGTACAATAAGTAAAGACTAAAACGGATTTTGATGGACTTGGATTTGAGATTGTTATACCTTGGCTAAAGTGTTAGACTTGAAAAAATGGTAAAGTTAAAGCCTTAAGTTAATTAAAATTAAACAATATATTTAATTTATTTATGAATAATATATAAATAATTATAAAATTTATATATCTAATTTATCAGTTCGATTTGGTTATTTTTGCAGTTGTTTTTTAGTAAAACCAAAACCAAACCAAATAGTATCGGTTTCCAAAATTTAAAAATCAAACCTAACTAAACTAAACCAGATATCGATTTGATTCGAATTGCGGTTTGATTTGATCGTTAACCATAACCATGAACAACCCTACTTCTCAGATTGATCCTTTATCAATACTTCTTAAATGCCCCACATCAATATACTACACTTATAACTCAGGAAAAATATGAGTGCCACCCATGCTACTTCTCAAAAGCTCAAGCTCAATATCAACACACCACACTCATGGCTATAGAACTTGTGAGTGGCACACACCTTGAATTCACCACCACAAGTACTTGCTAAAGTTATTTGATACTCTTAGAATATATTCTCTCTCACATTGCTCATCTTCCAAATACTTCTCAAAAGTCCAATGCCAACACACACCGGGCGGAATCATGATTTTCAATAAAGGAGTTCAAAATTTATAAAAACAAGACACACGGAGTAGTCAAAGGAATATATAGATAAAATATTATTTTAACCATATATAAATAGTATAATTTTTCGTCGAAAGATGTTTGTTCGGATGATCCCCTTGTACCAAGGTGGCTCCGCCAATGCCAACACGCCATGCTCACACAATTGATGCTTGTGCAACCATGGCTTGGTTAACCTAACAAGTTTATTCATTAATGAAAAAATCATTTCCTATATACTAAAGTTCACAAAATCCAATTAACCTAACACAAACCTTGTTGATATAATAAATTAATCATCCAATAACATCATAAAATTTTGGTTGTGAACACAATCATAATTGGACATTGATCCAAAGACATTCAAAATCAATAAATTTCAAATCTCGAATATAATAGAGTTTCAACCACACTAATCATTTCATTTTAACCATAGTTTTGGGAAAACAAAAGGCAAAATTCACAACAGATTGTTTCCATATTTTTCGAAGGGCTACAAATGACCTGAAAATATCAAATACTTTAGTCATACAAAACACAAAATCATACCCTTAAAATCCAAACATAACCCTAAATCCCCATTAAGCAAAATAAAATTAAAATTAAAATGAATCACTTAATTTTCTCAATAATTTCAGAAATGACCTTGTCCATATTAAGTGCCTTCATGGGTCCAAATGGCCTCTTCATATCCAAAAGGCTAACAAACTTCTCACCCTTTTCATCATCGACCCGGATTTCAAAACAACCCCTCCTTGGCTTTTCCGGGTTGACCCGAACCTCCAAACCGGGTACCCCATGTTCCAGCTCCTCCTTCACCTTCACAGCCCGAATCTTGAACTGCCTGCACTGGGTACAGTGCTCAACAACAACAATCTTCTTCGACCCGGAATCAACTGGAGCCTTCACTTTAGATTTCGTCTCAGAAACGGTACCCTTTTTGACCCGTTTTGGTTTTGGTGAAACCGGGTCAACTGAAACGGGTTTCGAGTTGTCATTCTTGGTTTGGCTTCGAGTTATACGAGTTGGCAATGGCTCCCCTGCAGTTGCCTTTCTCTTTGGTGCCATTGCAGAGATTTCTAGGGTTTTTTTTTTTGCAGTATTTTTGTGAAAAAAATGAAGTGAGAATGGTGTTATTTATAAGGCCATTTTTGTTGGCCTTTGGATATTAATTTTCCCGCGCTTTTTGACGGTTGAGATTAAATTAGACCTTTTTTTTTTTTGTATTCTCTGTTCCTAATTATGTATTTATTTATTTTTTCATTTGACTCACCGGTTAGAAAAATAATGTTTGACATAGTGAATTTATTATTTTATTTCTATTATTTAAATTTTTTGATTTGTCAAAATAAACAAATAAAAAAGGAAAATTTGACAAGTAATTAGGGACGGAACGAGTAATAATATTACTCACTTCATTCCATATTAAGTTAATTTTGATTCATTTTTCATTTTTCAAATTAACTTAATTGTTTAATTTTTAAGACTATTTTTATAGTGTTCTTCAAATTTTATCCTTTATTAGTTAGTATTGAAATTAACAGTAATTAACATTCAGTCATTTTAATTATAAATTTGACAATGATTAATAAGATAAAACATGAAAACTAGATTCAATTTACGTCTTAATTTACTTTTCTTAAATGTATGAAGCAACTCAAAAATTAACTTAATATAAAATGGAGAGAACCAATTTATGGGATTGCTTATTTAAAAAGATTAAAAGTAATTTGTATACTTTTTTGGATTTTGCTAAAATAGGATTAGTAACTAGTAAGTGTGAATATAATTATAATAAACATAGTTTTACACCAAAATCTTTGATTTTTTAATTATAATAATCAAATAATATTCTGCACTTGCATAAAGTAAAATAAAAACATTAATTATGTACTTTTGTTAGAGGTCCAAATGCCAATATTCCCAACTTTTGGGATTTAAGACATGATTTTTTCCCAACTTTTGGGATTTCAGACATGATATAATATACCAAAAATATTTCAATTTTTTTAAGGAAAAATAACTTAAATACACAACTACAAGTTTATATTCTCTAATTTTTTCTTCTTTTTTTAAATATTACATAATTCCCTTTTTTTTAATTTTAGTGTAAGCTTATAGATACATTACATTCTCTCTCCTATAATACACAATTATCCATTTTAATGCCTATTTTTTCTCCATTAAAACACTCAACCTTTTAAATCAGTTTTTGGATTTTGAATTTTCTCCATTTCAACACTCAACCTTTTAAATCAGTTTTTTGATTTTGAATTATTAATTTTAATTAATTTTAAATAAAAGACCCAAATTTGAAATTTTGAATTTCAAAATTAAAAAATTTTGAAATTTCAAAAATCAGAACAACTTCTCTTAACTTCTCCCGTTTTGTTCTTACTCCATCAAGTTTCGGTTCTTTTTTTTTCATAATCATCTTCCTTCTCTTAAAGATTACTTACTCCGCCATTGCAACTTCAACGTAAACCCACATGCTTAACAACTCTCAAAAATAAAAACCCTAAACCCCCAAGTTCAGTTACCGAAGAAACAAATTCCAATCAGAGGAAAGATTAAACGAACAACCAAAAAGCAGATGAATTTGGTAATCTTCTTGTTCTTGGAGGCAAGCAGATGAATTTGGTAATCTTCTTGTTCTTGGAGGCAAGCAAATGAAAATGAACGGTCACCTTACAAAAGGTTCAAATGATGTGTGTGTGTGTATATATATATATATATATATATATATATGATATTCACTTTCATAAATCAGTAAGGTATTAGTTGTTTGGTTGATGTAGTGATACATGTTTTGAAAATTGTTATAATGTATCATTCACTAAGTTTGATAAATGTTTCATCCACTGTACTTGATGATACATATAGAATCAGTGTGTATATTGTTTAGTCGATGTTTCTGATACATGCATTAGATATGTATCACATGTTATAATGTTTTAGTTAATTCACTGATACATGTAGTAGACATGTATCACATGTTTTTCATGTAGTATGAATTTCTGAAAACTGAAACCATGTATCAGTAAGTTATTAGTTTTATTTAGTATCTATATTTCAATATCGTTATAATTTGCTGTTTTATTTTCAAATTGCAGCCACTGAAGTACAAGATTAAAAAGATACCAACACATCCCATAAGGTTTGCTGTCAATTTTAACAACAATTTCCTAAAGGACTTTGAAAAATATATAGGGGAGAATGTTATCCAAATGTTAATGATCTGTTACCTTATACATAGGGGAGAATGTTATCCAATTACGTGCTGATTTTATGGTGATTAATGATCTGTTACATTAAATTAAGCTGTTTTAGTAACAACATTAATTATACCGTTTTTTCCCCATTTTTTTCTCAACAGTTTAAACTTACCATGTATCATTTACCATGTATCACTAGAGTCTAAAGTATCACGGAACAACAAATTTAAGGAATTTTTTGTAAATACTAATTTTGTCTGGACAAAATATAATTATTGAATTACACTATGGGATTCCTTAAATTTTTACTTTTTTTAATAATAATTGCATTCTCCACTTGCGTGAACCCAACTAAACAAGCCTAAGAATTCATGAAAATAATTTCCAATTAGGGAGTTAAAAAAATATATTACGGAGTAATACAATTTTACATGATACTAGTATTCTCCGCTTCATGTAATACATAATTTTTTACAATAATATCAATATTATTAAGATAAAATTTTGAATTTATAAATATGTGTTAAAGAATAAAGTATGTTTTTTTTTAATAAACAATGTGGATTGTGGTAGAGTTACGTATTTGTCGAGGTTAAAATGATTGAATATTGTTTGAACATGTAGAAATAAAAAATTGAAGTTTGAGAGATAATTTTCTTATAAGGATCATTTTCTTCGATAGCGATCATAGAAGTGAGGACGTTTGGATAATTGTGTGGACATACTATCAGAAATAAGATTAGGAATGAAAATATACTGGACAGTGAAATTAATATTATTACAGGACAAGATGAAAAGCGAGATTGAGATTATTCAGATATGTAAAAAAAAATTATACACATATGCTCCATCGCGGAGGTGAGAAGGGTTTATTATAGTTGGTTTCAAGAGAAGAAGGAGGTCAAAAGAGTATTGAGATACGTACTTAGACAAAACTTGATGCAATACCAGCTTACTGAGAACAGGACCTTAGAAACGAAGTTTGTGGAGAACACGAATTATAATAGAAAGTTAGTAGAAAGTAGCGTGTTGTCTTTCTATTTGTCCATACTAGTAGTCGTACTATTACTTATTTAATTTTCTTGTCATTTTATTTTACGGAAAAGGGCCTAAAATACCCTTAAAGTATTGAAAATGATACAAAATTACCCTTCATCCACCTATTGGCTCCAAAATGCCCTTCCCACCCACCTATTAGGTCCAAAATACCCTTGTCATCCACCTTTTGGTTCAAAGTTGACCACTTATTTAACGGTTTTATATTTAAATATTTTTTAAAATACGTGGCGCTCAACTATTTGTTATAATTTAACTTATTAGTGTAATTTATAAATCAATCCACTACACACCCATTACTAATTAAATCCCTCTAAATTAATGAACCCGTCAAATTATTAATGCAAGCGACTACCAATTGAGTGTTTTTAAAAAATATAAAAGAAAATTATCATACATTCAAGTGGCTACATAAAAATCACCGATAAACTTAGAAGTCTGACTATGTTCATCTTAATTATTCTTACGTCTTAATTATGTGATGTTACCTCATAGGTAACTTTTTTTCAAAATAATATATTAAAGGTTTTAAAATAAATCATAAATATTTATAAAATTATATTTAAAATAAGAGGCATTAATTAAATCGGGATGTATTATTTCTTTACCTTTAATCATAATTTTCTAATTCAATTTTGAAAGAAAGTGTCCTCCTAAATAAGCGGCTCAACCTAAATTTCATTGGGGCTTCGATTCGGACTCGAATAATTTTGAATGTCAGTTTCAGTAATCTATAATTTCATCGTGTTTTAGTAGTGTTTATGACAATTTTGATATTATAATTGAATTATTAATTGAGTGAGGTTTAGTTTGTAATGAATGGGTAGTGGATTAGTTTATAAATTATATTAATAAATTAAAATTATAATTAATAGTTGAACGCCCAGTATATAAAAAAAAATATTTAAAGAATTTAATCTTAAAACAATTGAAAATGGTCAATTTTGAATCCAAAGGTGGATGACAAGGGTATTTTGGAGCCAACGGGTGGATGGAAAGAGCATTTTGGAGCCAATAGGTGGATGAAGGGTAATTTTGTACCATTTTCAATACTTTAAGGGTATTTTAGGCCTTGTCCATTTATTTTATGTTACTATCTGTTATTGCTTGTATTTCAATTATCGTAATATTTTATCTTGGTTTACTTTCCACACAAAGAGAGTCAGGCTTGTATACTTTTAAACACTTCAAAATTATATGGTCTTAAACATAAAAAAATCTTTTATATTACATGAATCATTTTTTTTTTCACTAAAATAAAGCTTTACAAAGTTTGTCAACAAATAGCTGAAAAACATGAACTGTTATCATCAGCTGAAGAACACCAACTCATCTCATCTGGATTCTGCAGTGGCGGAATTCAAATTTTAGAGCGTTCACGAGCAGCATTGCGTCTTGCACAGCATCCAACGAAGTAGATCATCGACTGATAAAGTGAGAAGAAGTCATATGAACCAATTCAAGTCATCGGAGAAATCACAGAAGTGGAGCAAGATTACTAGCTATGAGTTTAGACGAATCCAGTAACTTTAACTAAGAACCTATATTTGTGGAAATCCATTAAATATGTAGTTGTGAATTCAGTAATTCAGAAGAGTTATGGATTTGGTGGCAAGTTCAGAACACATAAACTTCAAATCTTAGCCCATAAATGTAACCGTACTTCTCAAACAAGAAACAAGAGTCATTATGCTCACTTTTTGAGATGTTAATTAGAAGAGTGAACTTACCAAAACGACAAAGAGAATCACATTGAAGATAGCAACCACTCTCCATTCAGTTTTCATGTATTGTGCAACACCAGCCCTGTAAGATAATAGAGTAGGAGAAGAGCCGTGAGCTGCATAACCTAAGCGAAGAATGACAAGACCAGAAGATGACTCTTACTTGCAGGAATCACAGCTATAGCACTTGATGTTCTTCGAGTTTTTGTAAAGCTTGCAGTCCTTGCTTGAACTCGTCGGATGAAAGCTCAAGTCATAGTATGAGGCGTTAACAGCAGGGTAACCACATCTACAAAAGGAGCAGAGTATTTCTGAGTCCTTGGAATGAATGGGATGATGCTAGTAAGGATTTCAATATCAAACACGCGAGATATAGAGGAATTGGTGAAACAACATATACAAAAGATATATGTGACTTGCACAACTCGGAGTAGCATGAAACGAAAATATCTAGCAAAAGAAAGAAAAGGAATAACAAACAAGTAATAATAACGATAACTTACTCAGATGGTGGTCTGCAGCAACCAGCTTCAACAGGCGTTAGTTTTGCTAATTTGTATTGCTTGGCAGTCTGCAACAAAACAGCAGAAGCGTTAATAATTTGATTTCACAGATATAAATCACGAACAGGTTCAAGTCGGAACATGACCCTGTATCGTTTTGATAGGTTACTACAGTCATCAGCCTTGACAAGACAGCTTTTCAGATGCTTCCAGTTATGGGTGTTATTGAGCTGAAACAAATGAGCAAATGGTTAATAAATGCATGAAATTTTCATCTTAAGGCATCTGAAACAACTCCTATAACGATCAGGACATGATGCCTTTGCCCTATAACCTGCGACTTATTACTTCCTCCGTCCCAATTTATGTGGCACCGATTGACTTGACATAATTTTAAGAAAGAAAGGAAGACTTGAATTTTTGTGGTCCTGTGGCTATACATAATTTCATTAAGAGTAAGATGGAAATTTAAGTTAAATTGTTTCAAATTAAAGAAATGTGACACTCTTTTTGGGACGGGCTAAAAAGGAAAGTGTGTCACATAAATTGTAACAAAGGTGGTATTTGCATACAAGAGGTGCTTACTTGTTTTAGAAACCACGAACTGTAGTCATGAAGTTGATACTCCTTGTACCTGCCCACACAAAAACCATTAGTGACCTCACTCTTCTAAGAATATCACAGAAGTAAAAGGAAAAAGGAAAACTGGAAAAACTTGTGACGGTCATGATGAGATATACAAGCACAATCCATGTCTTTGAGACACATTGAGAACCAAAGTGAGACTGAGCAAGACGTGGGTCGAGAAAAAGAGTGGATAAAGGGGAAGATACTGAAGGATGAAGAGAAGGAGATATTGTGATCACAGACAGTATGACAGGTGATTGTACCTTTGTCCATTAACACTGTGACCTGAGCTGTTATTCGTCACAATGAACCTGTGATAAAGCAAACCAAAATAAGTTTCACAGTAATATGTAGGTAATAGCCATTGCTGACATCAGCATGCACATAGACACAGTAATTGCCACCTTGTGAGTTATGCCTGTTAACCCTGACACAGCAGTAGTTGCCGTTTAATGAAGGATTGAATATGGAAAACCAGTTTAGATTTCCACGTTCAAGACAGATTATAGATAGAACTAGTAATGAAGTTAACTGAAAACCAAGCTGGACTGGTTCATGCTTAGACTATCACTTGCTAGTGTAGTTTTTGTCACTGCGTGAAAAAAAAAAGAAGGAAAAGCAGAAGAAGATTAGTTGTGCATTCCTTTTTGCATTAAGCGGGCAGTATGGCTGGAAAGAAACTGTAGGTGCTTTATCATACGCCTTTTCAAGGTCACTGAACACCATATGTAAGTCTCTCTTCCTTTGCCGATACTACTTCACCAGTCTCCTCACAAGATTAGTGGCTTAATCCACATACTGACCAATACACGAAATTAGTCCCATCGAATACTAAAGAGGGGAGCAGTACCATTACTTGGGTTGATATCAATAAGTTCTGATGTAACACTGGAACTTCCTATATGGTCCAGAAGGACTTAAGAAAGTCTTATGCACTTTAGACGGCATGTAGCATTACTACTTCACCTGCTGAAGTCTCAGCTGAGCCATTGTGGCTTGCCACACTAACATTGGAAATTGTATCATGTTCCAGTAGAATCAGAGGAGTCCTCACTCAGGGATTTGGTTCAATAGCAAAGGTAGTACGATGCGGGATTTGTGGTAAGCACAAGCAATAAGTTCTAACCCTGTTGCGAACCAAATGTGGTATTAAAGAGGAGAAGGGTACAGGAGCGAATTCTCAACAAGTTTTGGAGCTAGAAACAACCAGTCTCTTGGTTATAAAAGAATTCAAGTAGACCTATGAACGTTACACCTAATGTTGCTACTTTAACTGCTAAAGCCTCTACCAATTGCTGGTTAACAGGCCAAAGAAAAAAATACTTGAAGAAAGAATTCTCCTTTATAAAATAATCATTATGTGTTTTACTCTAAAATGAAAAAGGAAATAGGCTTCAACCTGGCGGTGCTAGGGCGCTTACCAAATTTGAACAAATCTATACACCATTTGACTCTTTCTAAAGCTCATTTTAGTACATTAGAAGTTGTATCCAAAATATAAGCCCACTGCGCAGAAGGAATATGGATCAGGAACAAGACACACAATGCTGGAACTTATAGAACAACTAGTTAAGGATATTCATGATATTGTATTTCTATTCTTCCCTAATAAAAGTGACTTAGCCAAGGCGGTGAAACCAGCCTCCAAGAAGTAGAGTATGTTCCAGTCAGGGGACCAAGCCAGAGGCAATGAAGAACAGTGCTGTAGCTAATTAGCTATTGATAGACTCCTAAAGAACTCTCAATAATACACCATTATGGCTTGTAAATTGTAAAGCATAAAACAAGCAGGATGCAAAAAAAAAAACTATAGTTACTTTTAATGGATCATAAACATAGCAATGACTAAAATATCTTGGTGGACCACAACTACAGTTACGAATTTGGTCATGCCTTTTAACTTTGTACTGAAATCGCCTCCATAAAAAAAATTACACATTTAGTGATTGTGTGCATGATAATTAGCGCAGAAAATGACATAATGCACCAATTTCTTAATAAAATTCCAAGAAGCATTACTTACGCTAAAACGGTGAAGACCAATATTGCCACCAAAATTAGGCACAACATGATCAGATACTGAAATATAACGTAAAGGAGAAGCAACCAAAAAATGTTATGTCAATCAAGAATAAGAAAAAAAATTGCACTTCATGTGACATTTGATAAAGTGAGGATACAATCCACAACAAGATGGAGTTGTTCTTCCATGCTCCAAGAAACCCAACAATTGATCTGAAAATCATGTAAAGAAGAATGATTATCACAATATACATAAACAAACCTTGAGTGGTTTAAGGGTTAAAGGGAAAACTAAATGAACAAGTGCGTTTTTATGTGAAGGAAAACATTTTCTAGAAACCTACACGACGAATATAACTCCTCCAAGACCTAGAACAGGCAGAGTGAGAGACTTTCGACAGACATCATGATGAGTGCTCATCCAAATCCCAAAACCTATGACGCCCACAGCTAACAGCTGCATTTTCAAGATCCAAATGGAGTACAAAAACAGTTAAACACCACCAAAAAAGATAAACTTCCTGCTCTAAATTAAGAACTAGAAAAACCTCAATTTGAAAACAAAAAAGATAGAGCATGTGTTCACTAATGTTTTCCAATTTTCCCACGTTAGATTGGTCAAATATTTCGAAAAACACATTCTCTAGGAAAACAAGCTTCTTAAAAATGACGAAAATGACTTCGAGAAACAAGTTTTTCTAGTCATATTCCACATTGATCGTGTTCTCCCCACCCTCCAACACACCGCATCTCACATCCAAATCCCACCTCTCATTTCAGGACAATATCTTTTGCTTACTTGTCGAACACACAAAAAAAGTAAAAAACTCACTTATTTTCTTAGAAAACATTATCCACCATGCTAAAGTCTAAACACATAGCAAAATATTCTACCTCAGATTGAAAACTAGAACTAAAGGAGGTAAAAATTGGTTCTTTTCTCCTAAAACAACAAATAAATCAAGCTCACCGAACAACTACCAATCACATTGAACCAAAAGCAATAGCATTTCAGAATAAATTGAAACACTAAACTAACAAACATCAAAGTAAAGTTGCCAACCACATCAAGAAACACAAACCCCAAACCAGTTTACAAATACATCTTCTCTACTCAATGAAGCAAAAACTAAACAACCCAAGTTCACATAAGGCAGCAGAGCTGGAAAACTCAGCTGGAGCTCAAAAGAAACTGAAAATATGAAAAGGGGTTCATACCATTGTAAGAAAATTGATCCATCTTATCACAAAAATACTAGTTGATGTACTCATCCTCCCCTTTTCTTGTCCTTTTGAGCTTGTTACTCTTTCTTGAACCCCAAAACATATATTGAAAAAAAAAAGACAGAGGAGACCAGAGAGCTGAAACAATTGGGTGTCAGAAATTCTTAAAGACAAAAAAGATGGAAACTTTATGCAGAGAAGTGGCACTTACAGTGCAAGAAAGCAAGAAAACAAGAAAAAAAGTGAAGGTAAAGGGATGATTTTTTTGAAAAAAGAGAGGGCAATTTTGTGGGGTTAAGGTAAAGAAGATGAGGGTAAAATGGGAAAGAAAAAGGTTACACTCTCCGTCTAGATACTTGTCGTTTTTCAAGAGTCAAATCATTTAAGTTTGCACGTGAAATCTTCAAAAAAGAAATTTGAAATGAAACTATATATTTATAAACTACGTAAAAAATATTATAAGTCACAATATATAATTAACAATTCAGAATAACTAAAAAATATATAAAAATTTTATAGTTAAATTTAAATTTATTTAAATTTCAAAATTTGAAAAGTGTAACCGAAGTTACGAGGGAGGGAGAGTATTTCTATTTTTGGTTCTTGTTTACAAAATACTACACGACACGATATGGTGGATAACTGAATTAAAGAAGAAAAAAGAAGTAGCTCACAAGTTTGGATTTTTGCTAACAGAGAATTTTAATATATAGTTTTTACTAAAATATTTGCTTAGCTATGAATTTAAATTTATTGATTTGGTTGTACAGTGTACTCTTTGTGACACTTGATATTATATATTTTTCCTTTTATTTTTTATTATTCGTTATAGCATAACATCGCTTTTCAGTAAAAAAGATTTGAAAATTAAAAATAACGAAGCTAATTTTCTTTTCTCATTTTCTACTTTTTTAGTAATTTTATCTAATATTCACTTAGTATTTTATTTTTCATATTCACTATTAATTGTTACTTTGAGATATTTGTAAAATTATTGGAGGTATGTAATATGTTAGTGATTGCATTATTTATTTATAAATTTATAGCAGACATGATTATGTTTGAAGGAGCATACAATATGATTTATAATTGTGAAATCAAAGTAAACTAAAGCTAGAATATTAATGGTCGTTATATTCGTACCAAAAATATTTTATTTAATACTATGAGTCTATGGCCTAAAATATAATAATTTATTATGTAGTGAGTAGTAAGAATTTGAAGGAATAAAAACAAGAAAAAGATGTAAATTGATTCATACTTTTTTTCTTGCAAAAAGAAACAAATTTGATTAGGTAATTGATATTTTATTCTAAATGAACTATTCCTAATAAAGTTAGTTGGTCTAGATTATTATCTTTTTTTTGTTTTTATTCCTTTCAAATCGGTATGGATGTATTTGAGCTGTTTAGATATCTCATATTATATTTTCTTTTTAAATTTCTGAATTCAGTAACATTATATCATATAAATTGAGACGAAGAGAATTGTTTTTATTTAAATTTGATAAATTCACTAACAATATTAATAATAATTTTCAATTGTTACGAACTTATACTTGCAATTAAAATTCACAATTTTATCAAAAAAAATATTGGATTTGGCAGTTCTCAACAATGCTAAGACAAACACCAATTATTATTTGAACACTTTTTTGGTGGGGTTGCCATCAGAAAAAAGGCATAAGAATAGATTCACTTTTTTAAATATAAAAAATAAAGTAGATCCTAATTTTATTTATGTCATACTATTTGCATCATTTTATTAAATTTTCAAACTGAAAAATATTCGATAGTTATTTGTATCGAAGTTTGATTAAATCGATAAGAAAATAAAAATATATTATGTTTTTATAGGAAAAAATTAGTAAACTTCTTACTCTAATATATTTATTTTCTACCATGCATTTCTAAATAAGTGAACTACCAAACAATATTTTTTTTCTTATCATGTTTACTTAGTCATTCTACCATATGAGTGAACATAACCCTTTACAATTATCTGAATATAAACGTATTGACGTTAAATAAAATTTCATACGTAAATTAACATAGGATGACTTATCATCTTGTGTTTGTACTAGAACCTTCTTGTTCAACGTTGATTAAACTTTCATTTTTCTTCATTGAAGCATTTTTGCTTAGATGATTATATGAACCTTTTTCTTTGAACAATTGAGAGAAATGAGGTTTGCAATAGAGACCTCCATCAAATGCAGCATAAGATGATGTTGTAAGTTTACAACCTCCATGGACACATCTAAAACATATCTTGTGGTACATTTCACCGTCCACCGTCACCTGAAAAAAAATATTTATTCAGAAGCAGATTCAAGATTTTAAGTAAGCGGAGAACGTTATCTCATACATCCGTTTCATACACTCTTAGCTCCTAGATTATTGGTAAATTACAATTTAGTCCTTTAATTACCTGAAATATATACTTTTGATTGATTTACTTCGATATTAAGATAAATCATAACATCAATAAGTTGATCAGGAATCTCTCTTTTTCTTAAGTTTCACTAAAAATATTGTCGCTATATCAATGTCCGAATAAAATTAGTCTTTCTATATAAAATCAGATGATGAGCAGGGTAAATTGTTTTTGAAAATAGTTCAGATATGAAATATTCCCGATATGTAAATGAACTAAAGATACACATTTTAATAAATTAAAAATTAAAGATATTATGTTTTATATATCACAAAAATCAAAATCAGAATTAACCGAGATAATAAAACTTGGAGATATGTTGTTAATTTTATTAGCATGAACAAAATGTGGAAATTAGTTTTTTCTTTTTTTCCAAAACAACAAATTACTTCCGTACATTTATAAGACTAGAGAAAAACTAAAAAAAAAAATTGTTGACATGAATTAGTCTTAATTTTAAGAAGAAATTTGTTGATATTTATTAATTGTAAAAAGAAATTAATAAAATAAAAGTAAAAATAGTAACCTTCTCCAAGGGGTAAACAGTCTTTTTACAAGCTGCACATTTGTCTTGAGTACCAGAAAATAAAGCCGAAACTTTACTAGAGCTTCTGTTCTGTTAATAACAATAAAATTATACAGAAAATTAATATAAACGCAGGCAAAGTCAGAATTTAAAGTTTATAATTCTAAATACGTCGTTGACTCATGGCTCGTTTTAGTTATTGGGTTCATAATTCAATATTTATACATATTTAATGAATTTAAACAAAAAATACTAACTTCGTTTGGACGTCTATCAAATATTTTAGCTCATAATTCTGATTGTAAAAATAATTTTAGAGAATGTAAAATAAATGATGCATACCAGTTCATTTTGCCTTCCCACTGCTCAAGAAATAAGGAAACAAATAAATAATCAGATAATTAAAATTAATTGTAGGATTAATTATTTTAAAGTGTATTAATTAAAATAAAATTACATGATGCAGAATGCTTCAAGGGAGCTCCTCCTTTTTCCTTGTAGATTTGTTCAAAATGAGGTTTACAATATAATACTCCATCAAGAGTTGAATAAGTGCTCAACTGCAAATTTTTATTTTTTTTTTAAAAAAAAAAGATTAATCAAAATGTATTATAAAAAGATTAATTAATGTTGATGAAATAAATTGTTTTAAGAACTATAGATAACCTATACATTTCATGATTATATTTTGTTATAATTTATATATAAAAAGATGATATAATTATTAAATGAAAAGATCTTACTGCAAGCCTTCCATTGCAATGGTTACACCTAAAACATGTATTATGATAAGCAACACCGCTTGTAGAGATCATTTCTGCAATATAAACAGTTTTTTCACATACTTTACATTTTTGTGGGGCCCCTGTAAATGCCATTTTTAAAAAAAAAAAATATTTCAAAGTCTAGATGAGAATTGTGATTTTTAAATCCTTTTGAGCTATCAAATATATATTAAAAAAAATCTATATAGCCAGGATTTCAATCTCTATTCCCTAAAAGTTACAAAGATAGAAAAGAAAAAGGAAAAGTTTAGATCATTTACTATTTTTGTCTAATAATTTTAACCATTTGCTTAAAAAAAATGAATGGAGAAGCAAGAAATTTGCGAGAATTTAGGATGGCACATACAATTTTAACCATTTGTCGCTAAGAAACTGGGCAGGGAGTACTTTTATTGTATAACTATAAATGTATAGGACGAAAATATATGTACTTGCATGTGTACATACAATTTTTTCACGTTTTATACAAACAGAAATGCAATTTATACATTTCGGTTCTTGTTTGTATAAGTGAGAAAGGCGAGGGTGGCGAGCGAGATTTGGGAGAGTGGCGAGCGAGATCTGGCAGAGGGGAGAGAGGGGAACAAAAATATATGTATTTATACAATTTTCTCTGCTTTATACAATTAGAAACAATTTTTATACACTCGTGTTTGTATAAAAAGTGAGGAAGCGAGCGAGAAACTGGAGGAGAGTGGCGAGCGAGATATTTGAAAGAGAGGCGCCTGACAATTTTTTGCAAATGTTTGCTATGGAGCACAATTAAATCAAACCCTAGCTACTCCATTTATTTTAGGTTATTAATTTGCTATTATATACAATTTTCCCTTAATATAAATAATCGTCCACTGAAGTCACAATTTACCTAATGTCAACAGCTATTGGGCTTTATTTTTCTAGACTTTGTCTGGGCTTTTCAAGCTTTTTGGGCTGGGAGGGCAAAATCTTAGGCCCGTTAATTTAAGTGGAAAGACAAACTTTAGACTGGTGGAATTATGGATTATTTGTATTAATATTTTGATTGTGACAACATTTAGTAAATAGTGTTATTAGCGTCCATTTTTGCAAAAAATAAAATAAAATAATTAGTGGCTTAATATTATCCCATATTTATTGTAAATCACGCGGAGGTATGTGAGAGTAATGTCAATTATAACTTTTTAGATATACAGATACATGTATAACTGTATATATGTTATACACTTGCAAAATCTCGCTATCATGTAATTTCTTTTAAAGAATAATTATAGAAAATAATACGTAAATCGAAATCGCTTGTTCATATAATTTTTTGATGGTTGATATATTCATATAGGTGAATAATTTTTAATTTGGTGTTATGTCTTGATATATACTAACATAAAACACAAAACCAAAATATATCAATTATTATAAAATTATATTAAATATAATGAAATATTATTATTGTTATGGCTTGTAAGAAACACATCAACCTTTTAAATTGAAATAAAAGAAAAAACAATACATCAGGATAAATTGAGTTTGCCTTTTTTTAAAAATGAGATAATATTCTCAGTGGTCAAATGATACAGCTGTTTTGTAGATTAAAGTTTAAAGCAAACAGTCAACTTGCATTTAATATAATAAATTCTTAACAAAATTAAGATAATCTTGCTTTTAAAACAAATTACATTACTTAACTTGCATAACAATTTTTTTTTTAATCTCCTCTCTAAATCTATTTAACATATGCTCTCTCAAAGTTCAGGCAATGCAGATAAATCAAGGAATTATTCAACAAATTTTAGTGTTATATTTTATTCTGAGTTATAATGAGGTTCAAGGAGAAATAAGTTTATCCGAATTAGAGGATCAAGAGTTAGAAAGTCAACTTAAACTTTTGAACAAGCCTGCAATCAAAACAATTACGGTATTTTTTCATATTAGGATTTGAATAACAATATATATGCATTTGTTATAACCTAAATGACTTATTTATTTAAATTTTGAGTCGCAGACTACATATGGAGATATATATGATTGTGTGGATTTTTACAAGCAACCTGCGTTTGATCATCCATCTTTGAAGAACCACAATTTTCATCCAAATGTATGTCGTTCCAAATTATATTTTACTATCGACCTTTAACAAGGATTTATATATGTATTGATTTAGAATTTTAATTTTGAGTGAATAGATGAAGCCTACGTTATCTAGAATACAGCAATCTTCAGGTACTTCAAAGTCTAAAGAGTCATCGACGATATGGCTAAATGATGGTGGTTGTCCTTTTGGATCAGTTCCGATTAAAAGAATTACAAAAGATGATCTTATCAGACAAAAACATATGCCACCACCAGAAGTTCATACCCAATTTTCTCAGGTAAGATAATGTCAAATCAATTTAATTATTGATGTATCATTAATAATTCATTTCCATCAATAGGATCTTAAATTATATATATAATTTATATTAATATAAATAAACGTATAGGATGTTTAGTTTTCACCATTAAAATCAAATCTCATTTGTTTTTATTTATTACTTTTCCAAAGACCAGGAATCACAGTGGATTGAAAAGAAGATTATTATCTACACAAGGATATAGGGTATATGAACTTTTAATTTTCTAAATTTTTTTTTGATGTCTTTTTTTTTCTTAATAAAAAGAATTTATAAAAATATTGAAGGTTGCAATAGTTTCAACTCGTGATGATTTGGATTACAAGTTTGGGGGAGCTGGAATGACATCTACTTTATGGAATCCTTCTGTTAAAGCTCCACAACACAGTGGATGTCGATTGAAAGTTCAAAAATCATCGGACATTATACAAATCGGTTGGAGAGTAAGCTTTTGTCTATAGCTTATTTTGTTATAAATAAATTATCTCGTATTTAGAGGGTTGAATATGACACCTCTCGAATATAATGCAAGATTAGAAAGTGTATAACCATTCAATTTATCATGATGATAGTTCTATTTCTTTGTGTACGTAGGTGGATCCAACATTATATGGCGACACCCTAACTAGAATGTTCATACATTTTCAGGTTAGTTGATATTTTTATGAATATTTTGTTAACTCTTATTTCGCGTTCATAAAATTTTTTAATACTGTCTATATATAGGCTGGTAATATAGGTTGCTTTGATACACTATGTCCTGGATTTGTACTGGTAGACACTGAGATAGGCATTGGAGCGCCATTTAGTAATGTTTCACAACGTGGTGATATTCATAACTTGTGGGAATATTCAATGTACCTCGATCGGGTATATGTTATGTTTGTCTTTTGAAGAACTGTTTTTTTTTTTAAAAAAAAAATGAATATAAAATGAGATACTAATATATATATATATATATATCTTTTTTTTTTTCGAAATAAAAGGATCTAGCCAACGGAAATTGGTGGGTTTTGGTTGAAGAAACGCATAGAGAAATTGGATTTTGGCCTCAAAACATCTTCACTCAGTTAGCTAGCTTTGCTACACACATAGAATGGGGAGGAGTAGCATATAGCCCACAAAACATACCTGAACCACCAATGGGTTCAAGTTTTTTCCCCACTAAAAAGCAAGGGTACGATGGTTCATGCAATAAAATTATTGCATTAAACTATAGAGGTGAGACGATAATGATAAATACGATCCCGCACACTGATAATCCCGATTTTTATAGGGTTTACGATATTCCACCAACGAAAGGAAAATTTGAGCACGTCGCTTTATATGGTGGACCTGGTGAGACAACCTAACTATTAAAATATCCTTGTTTATATATATTGTAATGACAATATTTACAACATTTGATAATTTATATCCAAAAAATTGTTATTTACTTTAAATTATTTCTTTATATAAATATTACTAGATCATCAAATTTGTTCATGAAAAGACGATGTAGCTAAGAATTAAGATGATGTCTTCTTTTTTTAAAATTTTATATAAAACTGTGAAATAAATTTGATTATTTTAATATACTAGGAACAAAAACACATCATCCTAATTAACAATTAATAAAGGAATAATTATCCAAATCACATACGATAAATTACTTCAAACGTATTCCTTGTTGATATTATTTTAGGTTCATGATTACCAATGAGCTCATTTTTTCTTGTTTTAAGTTGAGCATCAGCAACTAAATTATTTTTCTCGTATATATTTCAAGTTGAATTTGTCTATCTACACTTTTTAAGTTACTTTTTATTTACTTTTGAAAATTTGATGTTCCAAAAAGATTTGAATAACTGCTGATGTTTGAATATATAGATAATAAAATAGTCAAATATCAATTATGTTGTTCGACACACCAACGTGAGTTATGGTGTATTGTACGTGGCCTAACGAATAAGGTAATTTCTAATATAAGTGGCATTTGCTTTTTAAAAAATATGACTTATGTTAGGATGGTTAAAATTTCTTCACTAATATTCGAAAGTCTCTATGTTTTTGTTGACCGTCCCACATTGAGTAGGAATAAGAGATTTGGTCTCCCTTATATGAACAATATTCACTTTGTGGACTTTTTTTTTCTTTTTATTGAGTTCGGTTCAAGATTCATTTCTAACATGATATCAGAGTATGATCAATTTCAATTTACGATTTATCGATGGTTGACTCCCTCATTAAATTGTCCCTTTTAAATAGGGAGAAAATGAAAGCGTCACCTTAAGAAATGGACGATGTAATGTACGAAATCAAATTAATCAGACTGCAATGTGGTTATCTAATATCGAGTGTATTTGATAATGTGCAAATTTAAATTTACTAATTAATCAAACTTCAATATAATCGTTAAACATCGAATGCAAAAAGTATAAATATAAAGTTCTAACTTAATCAGACTACAATATAAATATCGAACACCGAAAACGAAAAAGGAAAGAAGTTAGTGGTGTTCAAAATGGTATGCTTGATGGTTTAAGCAATTAGGTAATTATAAACAGGTTGTAAAGTAAATGCTTGCTTACTAGGACATTATGACTAAATTAACATTAAACCATTGTAAACATTAAAAAAATGATTTCCTACGTAATTAAGTTCACCAATGTCAGCATGCACATTAATACGTTATCAAGAATAAGTAAAAAAGACAACCTAAATTTCTTCAATAGATATTAGCACCACTACTAATTATTTATTTCCAAAAAAAATTAAAAAATTACCCTAAGTGGATATTTAATTTGTTCTAATCATAGTGATGAATTATAATTTTATTATAAAAATATAAATGGCTCTGTCAAACTCAAACTTTTTGGTGTGCATGCATCAACCCGCACTTATAATTTATTTTATTTATATACAAATTATCCTAAAAATTATAAATTTACTCATTGTCCTATATATATTATCCAATCATATTTTAAGCATTTGGATCAACTTTTTTAAAAGTTAACATGTGATAAGTTTTAGTTCAAAAACATGCCACGTCCATCATCCGACTGTTATTCTGTCATGTTACGATAATTAAATATGATCACATATTTTATACCATTAACTAAAAATATATATTGAATAATTGAGAAATTCATATAATTATTTGATAATGAAATCTAGAGAAATAATAATTTATATGATGAAAGGTGAGATGAGACGTTTTATGCAGTATGAAACGAGATAAAACTTTTAAAATACAGAATGAAGTCTTATAGATCTACGGGAAATAATCTCATGTATATTCAATTTTATAGTTTTATTCTTAAGAAAATATGCAAAATAAATTTTTTAATTATTTTCAAGTAATCTTTCATGAATAACCTCTAATATATAGAAAAATATAATATAATTTTTATTTAAGAAAAATATTAATAAATCAATAACAAAAAAAGAAGTATTATAATCACTATTTGAGAAATGTCATTATATCATTAAAAGCAAAAAAAGGTTCAAAAACTATAAAAAAGAAAAGAAAAATAAAGCGTACGTCCCAATTCTAAGATTCACACCTTATGAATATGTCTTTCAATTTGCATTTTCAAACATTTTTCATACACCCCTCCGCAAAACTCTCCCCAAATTTTTTTTTAGAAAACAGTGTTAAGAATAATACTCCCCTATATATAGTTTTAATTAATATATGAGATGTAAATTTTATTTAAATGTAGTCTAAAATAGAGAAGATATTTTTTATCTCGTAATATTGGACATGTTATAACTTTTGTATAATTATAAGAAAAAAATATAATTTTAGTCATGTCATAATATTTATGTGATTATAAAAAGATATTCGCATAGATATTTATGGTAAACTCTAACAAGAAAGTTTTTAAATTAATATATAAAACCTTGTTAATTTTTTTCTAAATATTTGTAAACAAGAAGTTCATATTTCTTATGTGGTACCTTTTAGCTTTTTAGATTCAAATAAATTTATTTTTATCATAATTTTTTTTTATATATCTTTTAAATATTTTGAATTATCACTTATGATTTAAGATATTTTATATAATTTACAAATATATAAATTTTATGTACAAACTAAAACGATTTGATCGTGAAAGAAAAAAGTAAATTATGAAACAAATAAAATATATATGTTTGAGAACTATGACAGATTCAAGCTTCTAAATTATTACATATCATGACACTTTTCACCTTAGTCTAGTTTCAGTGTTATATAATAATAATAATAATAATAATATCAAATTAAGGTCAAATTCATCATAATTTCTAATCAAATTAACTTTGCTTGTCGGTACATAGTGGAGTTTGCCGTCCAATATTAGAAAAATCCCTTAAAAGGATAATATATTTTTTTCCCGATTTTTTATTATTCTCTTCGTTGAAATTTATTTGTTTCATACTTTCTTTCTGAATTATTTACGATAAACATATCTTTTTCTTTTACAACTCATTAACTTTAAAATTAGGAAAAATTATATAAAATAGCAAATTATTAGTTCAAATTTAATGTTATAATTATACTTTTCATTTAATTGTAATTCATATCAAACTCTTGTCATTTGCCTCTCTCTCCAAAGAATTTCACTCGCCGCTCTTCCACGCCTATATATTGCGTTTGCGTTTGTGTAAAGCGAACTAAAATTGTATATACACATACAAATACATGTATTTTTATCCTATAAATTTATAATTATACAAATACAGATCTTCTTCTACCAGTTCTCTTTTGTCTTTCTCTTATACAAACACAAATTATACAAATTACAATTTGTATAATTGTGTTGTATAAATCCAGAGATGTGATATATAAATATTTTATTTCGATTCAATTATATACAAATTCATTTTTATACATATATACAAACACAATCATTGGTATATGTACATAGTAATTACGTATGTACAATTGTCTAACCTATATATATATAATCGTTGCGCTTTTATACAAACGAAAGACTTACCAATAATTTATAAAGATCTGACACTTCATGTAATTATACAAATTATAATTATAACATATACATATAATTTTAATATTTGCTAAACTTAAAATTTACTAAAAGAATATTATCAAATGTCACATCCTATATATAAGTCGAGAATATGTTACTGGTGGTGCCTGTCTTTATTATAATTCCACTAAAAGAAGAATATGGTTGTCATTTTTACCAGCTCTTAACTTTAAATTTTTCATGATGCAAAATTCCCAGTGGACAATCATCATCAACAACTTTTTTTATGTGTGAGTTTACTCGTTTTTGATCGTAACTATTACGGCCTAGAAATCTCGAGTTTAAATTATTAAAAAATAAAAAGAAATCTATCATCAAAAGGAACATATTTGAATATTACCATTCTGTTATAAAATTTATTGATATCTAAGGGTGGGTATATTTGTAGAATTATAATTTCTTGAATTTTGTATTTATATTAAAATTACATTTTTTACCATCTCAAATTTATATAAAATATAAAATAAACAGTTAGTCAGTGTCAAATACCTAATTTTCCCTCATCTAAGGGATAAGCACGCAAAACGATGCACACAAACAATTAACAACAACTATTTATTAAATTAATCAATGATAATCCTTTCTTTTGACACCATTTTATTTTAATTTCATTTACCCTTAAGTGCATATATTAAAATCTCTAATTTAATTGTGTCTCTTTTGACATTGAACAGTTATTACACTTCCACTTTCTTTTTTTTTTCTTTTTTTTTTGAAGAAGTATTTAGTGGTTGTTACACAAACGTAAGTGGAACCCCACTGATTTGGGATTAATATGTCACTAAGAAAATAGGAGTTGACTTATGAATTACAAATATTAATAATCTAAAAAAGTCATAATGATTATTAAAATCACTAAAATTCTGACTAATATGAAAATATCATGTTATAATTAAGAAATTAAATGGACATTTGAAACGTGAAAGAATATATCTTGGAGCCCAATGTTGTGTAATTCAAAATTTGGGCAAAAATCATAGAAGAAAACATGTACATTTGAAGCGTGGATAACATATTCACTCTTTTAATATATCAAGAAAATAAATCGTAAATTTAATTTAACTTAAAAACTTAATAATTTCAAATCGTATAAAAAGATAGCAAACTCATATTGTCAATCAGTTTGATACTTTCACACATTTGTCTACAACTTAAGGGTTCACTACAACATTAATTTATATTCACGTTGCATAAAAGTTTTTTTTTTTTAAAAAAAGAAAACACTTTCTAATATAAATTTTCTCATTTTAAAAAATCAAACTCTAAATATCTGATTAAAATGGATAAGTTTCGACCCACTATATTTTTCCACGGTGAACCTCCAAGATTTTGATATATTGCCTAGTGAGTTATTATAGACCACATTTTGGAACTTTTTTAAAAAAAAAATCTTTTGACACAAAACTATAAAAAGAATATATTTTAGTTCCTAGGTGAAGGAGGATATAAAGGAGAAATATGAATCTATGTTGTGATGATTTGTGGTTTAGTGGTTCTCCATAAGGCCACCTCACATGGCAAAAAAAAAGCATATTATATATAGGGTATACAAAGACACACATATTATAAGAATAAAAATAAACTCTATGAAGAGTCATATTCTACTTTATTTATTTGCCCAAAGACAGACTGGATGTGAATAAATAAAGACAAAACCTCTTTG